GCCGAACCTCGTAAATTCTGGTGTTCCCTTTATTATTGCTTTATTGTCTTATTTATTATTTGGGGACTGTCATAATTTTTGGTATAGTAGTTGTGACTTATTCACATTATATACATTTAGCTTCCGCAACAATATCTCCCTCCAGCACGCATTGATTCCACAGGTGATTTAGAAGTATCTAAAAGAAGTATCCTCTGCCTCTCTGTTTGGATTTCTGCCTGTAGAAAATTGAATCACTTCTATAAAGCAGTTCGTAGAGCCAAGAGATAAGAATTCAAAAGGTTAGAAAGTTTCTAGCAGCTTACAAAACTGATAATATGAAAAACAAGATCCCTGTACTTGACTCTCAATCAGAGAGGCTTGAGGTCTAACTTGTCCAGGTAGATATTTATCTCACCCTTTTCACTAAACGATTCCTAGGCTTTTTATATGCATTTGACAATTACCTATGAAAGCACTTTATACCAGATACACACGGTAGCAAAATTGTAGCATATCAAATAATAGAAACTGAAGTTTCATAAGCCATGCTTAAGAGGCATTCCATTGTCCGTACACTCACACACAGACTCAAATATGCCCATTGAGCAAATTCATTTTCTTCAGTGTATGATACATTTTGACGGTGGGTGTAAGATACATTTGGACCATACTTTCCAAAAATATGAAAGCTTGACTAACGGCTTTCAATAAGTAGCTTAGTTTAGCCAAAATGATCAATACAAGAGCATAAAGGCCACACATATACAAAATGCAATAGCCTGTTGTCTATATATCTACTTAGTCGAGAATGTCCTCTATGTGTGCACATTCCTAAATATGGAAAAGGCAACTCTATGACCAGAAGATTGCGATGACACTACTATTCTCCATTTATTATTTTTCCAAAGAAATTTTCTACACCAGAAGCACATCATTCTTTCAGACAATTCGCTAAGTAGAAAAACTATTTGGTTATATTTGTGTAGTTTTTTGAAAAGTTTATCATACTTGCGCACTAAAATGCAGTAAGCACTCAAACAGGGTAAACCAAGGAAAAAACTTTTTTTATCAATTTTATTTTCTAGGATAGAGAAGTAAACCCCCGGCTAATGTACAGCACCAAACTTCATTTAATACTTTTGCCAAAGAGCACGTATTCAGCCTTGCCACCTTACAAATTGATGCCCCCAGACAAAATAGTAAGGATCTTGCTTATCAACAGGTTGAATAATCCACAGCATCTCTATCACTATTTACAGTAGCTTCTCATAGTAATCAGCTAAGCGAGCAAATCACCTTGATGGTAACAGCTCTAACTTCAAAGTTGGAGCTGTTATTAATGCTTATATAACTGCAGAATGTCTCTCCCAAATATATCGCCCTGCAAGATTATAAATTTAACAAGGGGAAAAGAAAATTAACTAATCACAACATCCAACATATAAGCAGTGATTGCACGTCACTCATTATCTACTGTTTGAATATATGTATATAGAAAATTTAAAGAAAAATGTTAACATATACTCCATTTCAAAAACAACAACTGATAACATAGTACAAGGGTCAAACCATTCAATTTTATCTCAATTTGAACATCAATTCCTTTATTTTGTAAAATAAAATCTCCACATTCAAAGACTGCTCAAAAGTAGAATAGTATTTTAAGTTATTTGTATTAAAATGTATTTTAGAATGTTACTTCCTATGTCCTAATTTATGTGACGATCTTTACTTTTTAGTCTGTACGAAACAATTTAATTAAATTTCTCATTTTATCCTTAATGGGATGATTTAGAGCCACATGAATTTCTTTCTAGAGCTTGTTTTAAATCACAAATTTCAAAAGTTTTACTATTTTTTTTTCTTAAACTTGATGGTCAGTCAAACATCATCATATAAATTAAAACAAAAGGAGTACTATAAGTTACAAATTTTGTAATTAAGATTAGTAAAAAATGTTATAAAATTACAATAAGAAACTATTCGACTATCCAAATAGTTATAGTGTTATTGTGAGTTATGGTCTCATATAGAGTGTATACATGGCAATGCTTCATTGGTGGTGACTAATTCTTATGTGACAGATTTGTATAAGTTAGTTAATTGGGTTAGTCAGTTTGTTAGAAAGACAGGTAGCTTAGCTTAGCTTTTGTGTATAAGCTCTTAGCGGTGTATAATCAAGTTGGTGGTTATCATTTTCATCTAACACATTCCTCATTTCTCTTCTTCTCGAAGCTTCCGCCATTAGAGAGCTTTGAAGCTCATGCTCTTGCTCAATGATTGTCGTATATTTCAGCATGGTGCTGGTAGTATACGCGAATTAAGTTTCTTCTTCAGATTTCATCGATTCCGCAGATCGCCTTTATTTCCTGTTTTTTCAGTTTGTCAATGGAAGAATCAACAATTTTGTACACATATCCACTATACCTTGGTGCATCGGATACTCCGGCCGTTGTTCTAATCCCTGTTAAGCTTACAGGATCTGAGAACTATGGGCTTTGGAGCAGGACAAGGAAGAATACCCTTTTAGGGAAGAGGAAGTTAGGGTTTTTTAACTTGCACCTGCACAAATGAGCCATGTTAGGCAGAGTTGCATGAGCAATGGAAAACTTGTAATGCGATTGCCCTTTCATGGCTGATGAACACGGTGTCCACAAAACTCCCCAGTGGAATTGCATATGCTTCTAATGCACATCTTGTGTGGGAAGATTTGAGAGAGCGATTTGACAAGGTGAATCCCATAAGAATCTTCCAATTGCACAGAGCTATTGCCACTCTATCACATGGTATTGATTCTGTTTTCACCTATTTCACTAAGTAGAAGAGTCTTTGGAATGAATATGATGCCTTAGTGCCTGCTCCAAATTCGAAAGATTATGTTGAACATCCTCAGCAGCAAAGGTTATTACAATTCCTTAGTGGTTTAAATGATTCTTAAGGTCAAGCTAGAAGACAAATTCTCTTGAAATCCAGTGTTCTTTCTATTAATCAAGTATATGCTATGGTAATCAAGGACGGATCACAACACTCTCCTGGTCTAGGCTCAGTGAATGAGAAAAATGATCCAATTGCTATGCAGGTTGGTAAAGGTCAAGGTTACACAGATAAAAACCTTTTCCTACAGTGTGAAGATTGTGGGCTTAAGGGCCACACAAAGGAAAATTGTTATAGAAATATTGGTTATCCTGAGGAATTTAAGGGAAAGAAGAAATTTGGTTCTGCTAATATGGTCATGGCAATGAAGAGGGCAATTTGGTCGTGGTACTCAATTATCCTTCAATGTTGTCAACAATATATGTAGAAATGTAGATATTTAATCACAGGGCTATTCAACCAATGATCTGCAGAACACTTCTGTTGGTAAGGAACCATATTTCATTGAGGACAAATACATGCAAATCCTAGGTTTGCTAAACAAGAAGACCACTGACAGTCAGGCTAACATGGCAGGTACTGCTGCTTGTCTAATGTCACACACTCTTGCAAATGACTAGATTGTAGACTCAGGTACAACTCATCATACAACAGCAACTGAGAAATAGCCAAAAGATGATCCTAATTCTAAGAGGTCATCTAAAGATAAAGTCCATTTGCCCACAGGGATAAGTTGAAACTTCATGTATTGGTCAAGCACTTCTATTTGGAATTGAAGGTGTAAACAATGTGCTATTTGTACCTGACCCCAAATTCAACATGTTCTTAGCCTCAAAACTAAGCAGAGAACTCTCCTGTTCAATCAATTTTTGTCCTCGACTTTTTGTTTTGTTTCTGGATCTCTACATTAGCAGGGTGAAGGGGATATTGGTAAGAAGAATGCAGATACGTGCATATACAAGGAAGCAGGTGATAATAATAAAGCCAAAACACATCGACGGGCTGTAAATGTGAGTGGAGAAGATTGTAGATTATGGCACATGAGGCTTGGTCATCCTTCAGGTATTGTTATGAAGACTATGAGCCTAGGAAGTGTTGTAGAAAATGATTTATTGAATAAATGTGCCATAATCTGCAATCTTCTCCACTCACTAGATAATGATTTGTTGAATAAATATCCAATCTGTCCATTAGCTAAACAGGTTAGGTTTCCTACTAGTAGTTCCAGAGCTGAATTTCTCTTTTCTTTTGTTCATATGGATCTTTGGGGACCTTATAAAGTTGCTACATTTGATAAGAAATACTATTTCTTGACTGTTGTGGATGACTTCAATAGATATACATGGGTGTGTATGTTGCAACTCAAATCTGAAGCCATAGTTGCAATTAAAAACTTTTTGCTGATGATAAAGAACCAATTTGGGACAATGGTGAAGACTCTAAGGTCAGACAATGGAACAAAATTTTTTAATTCTCCATGTAATGAATTTTTGCGGAGTCTTGAGATGATACACCAAAGCAGTTGCACTCATATTCCACAATAAAATGGAGTTGTGGAGAGAAAGCATACACATATTTTAGATGTAGCAAGAGCATTAAGATTTCAGTCCAAGATGCCACTCAAATATTGGGGTGTTTGTGAATGCTGCACTATATTTGATCAACAGAACACCATCTTCAGCCATCAAAGGGAAGAGTCCTTTTGAAATGTTGCATTCTAAACCTTCATCTCTAGCTCACTTGAAGGTGATAAGATGTCTCTGCTACGCAACTGTAGTGCCTAAAGGTGATAAGTTTGCTGCAAGAGCATGAGTTGCAGTCCTTATGGGATATTCTGATAGACAGAAGGGATATCTGTTGATGGAACTAGCCACCAAGCAATTCTTTGTAAATAGAGATGTGTTTCAAGGAATCAGAGTTTCCTTTTACTAAAATTCAAAACTTTGTACATTCAATAGTTCCGGATGTTCATAGTTTGAGCATCTAGGATGCTAAATTGCAACCAGTTACAATTGACAGTGTTACACTTGACATTGTTGAGCATCCTTCAGAGTCTTAGGTTTTTTTTTAAAAAAATTCAAACCATCACCCAGAGTATGTTGCCCTGTGGTGGTGGCGGGTTTGCCATTACCCCTACCTGTTTATTAGACAATCCAAAAAAATACACAAAGGACATAAATCTTAGCCTCTAGATATACATGGAGTGTGACTGAGACTCTAGGATATTTATGTGCATAGTCTAAATTTTCACTAAGACTAAGAGAGGACTCCCCTCTCATGTTACAGATAAAGGAGCTAGCTTTGAAATGAAAACTATATGTGAATACAACGAGAGTAGTCTTAAACATTATCAAATATGAAATGCCCCTTCTTGGACCTGATTCTAAAGCGGATAAAGCCATTTTGATCATTCTTCAACAAAGCTTTACTCTTTCATGGTAAGGCCATAGCTTGCGTGAAGAATCTCTTATGTTTAGTCTCCACTCCAATGTTAGCAAGCGAGTCCGCAACAATATTGGCCTCCCTATAAAAGTGACCAACTTGAGTTTTCCCTTGAATCATTAGGTATCTGATTTGATGGATATAATCCTTGAGGTATGACTAAATCTTGTTCTCCCCTTTAGTCATTCTAACTAGTAATAAGGAGTCAGTTTCTAGAGCAGGAATCAGTAGCTCAAGATAAAGAGATGCTACCTGGAGAGTCATTACAAGAACAGGATTCACAGGAAGCAACCTCTTCAGCACCAACACAAAGTGTTCCTCCTCTTATTAGAAAATCCACAAGGGAATCTAAGGAGCCTATTTGGATGAAGGATTATGTGGCCCCCAACACAGTATCTAGCAATATCCCTTGACCAACTACCTATCCGATGACAACACTACTCCAACTTATCATAGCTACCTAGCTAAATTCTCAGACTTTGGTAGAGCCACAAACCTTCAAATAGGCAGCAAAGGATGCCAAATGGATCAAGGCAATGCAACAGGAGATTTAAGCCTTGGACCGTGGGATCTAAATGGGTATACAAGATTAAGTACAGCCAATGGGAAATTAAAAAATTTAAATCCAGGTTAGTTGCAAAAGGCTATAGTCAACAGGAGTAGCTTGACTATCATGACATCTTCTCTCATGTGCCCAAGATGGTCATAGTGAGATCTGTTATAGAACTGGCTGTCTCTAGAGGCTGAACTTTGTACCAAATAAATGTTTACAATATTTTTTTACAAGGTGATCCCTGTAAAGAAGTGTACATGGAGATGCCAACAGGCTTTAAGAAGCAGGAAGAGCAGAAAGACATAGGTTGCTTAAGTATGGACTCAAGCAAGCTTCCAGGTAGTGGAACATAAAATTGACAGATGTTTTACTTGCAGCAGGTTTCACTCATAGTAGTCATGACTATTCTCTGTTTACATTGAAGAAACAAGGAGGAATGGTAATGATTCTGGTATATGTTGATGATTTACTTATCACAGAGAGTAATGAGGAGTTGATCAGTTAGGCCAAGCAGGTACAACAACAACAACCCAGTGAAATCCCACTAGTGGGGTCTGGGGAGGGTAGTGTGTATGCAGACNGCGCGCAGGGACGAGATGAAAAAATGGACGAAATCAAGCTCCAGGTGCGCGAAGGCACGCAGGAGTTCGCGAGTAAGAAAGGCCGAGGCAGAATCATGTGCGAAGAAACGCGCGAAGTTATGCACGAGCTCGCGCGTGTCCGGTCCGGAAAAACGTTATTTAGGGTTAAAATTGGAAATCTGGAGAGAAACCCACTTGACATATATAAAGTCAAGCTCGCCCAAGGTTAAATCATCAGGGATTTTCATAGTTTAGTGCAAGAAATAGAGAGGCAAGAGGCAAGGAGGAGTTTTGACCATCAAGTTCTTCTTTTCTTCTCTTGTTTTTGCTATTTTGTGATGAAATTGAACTTATTTGGGATGAACACTAGTATGAGTGGCTAAGACCCATTATTCTGGGGTCATGGGTAAAACATGAATGTTGTTATTTGGAGTTTAATTTGACAAAGTGAGTTTATCATATTGGGTTGTTTATTTAATTATGCGTTCAATTATTTTGCTGAGTAGCTAACAGTGAAATACTATCTACGAATCTTTAGTTGAACTCGAAAGTGGGAACTTTAGATTGCATATAGAATTAAATAGAGCAAGTTCTTGAACCCGGGTCTCGGGGAACGGATTCGCAATTGGGATAGACATATACCCAATTGCCTTGCTTGGTTGAAATACAGGAATTGTAAATGCGTTCTTGTTAATCTTAATTCCATAGACATATAGGCATTGAGTTGACTTGAATAGGCAAGTAAGAACTTGACAGATTCTTATGAGTAATATCAACCCTGTCAATCAATAACCCAGATAAATTGATTAGTCATTCTAAGCCAAGAACACAACATGATTGCTAACTATGCCTGTGACCCTGGAATATCCTCTCCTACTGTTTGTTACTCGAAATTGCTATTCGTTTGGTTACTTGCTTTAGTTAGATTAATTCTTTATAGTTTAAGCAGTAAAACAATTACATCTCTCTTTTGTGAACAATCTCTTGGGTAGAGACAGAAATTGGGTTTGAATCAGTCAACAGTTAATCATAAGTCTTTGTGGGAACGATACTATACTCACTACTCTATTACTTGACGATCACGTACACTTGCGTGAGTGTTTTTGGTCACAACAAGTTTTTGGCGTCATTGTCGGGGACTTAGAAATTAGCTACTTGACTGAATTGAGCTTTTATTATTTATTTATTCGAG